TCCCCTTTCTGCTCCACCCTCCGGCCCAGCCCCAGCAGGGCAGTCTGCGTGAGGGGCAGGGGCAGGGACTGATGGGGCGGAGCGAGGGCACCTGCATGCAGGGCTGGGGGTGGGGGCGACCTGGGGCCCGACTCCCCTCCCTCGTGGCAGGAAGGAGGCCCTCCTGGCCTGCAGAGAGAGGGGAGAGGGGGCCTGTCCCAGGCTAGGACAAGGCCATCGAGAGCATTCCGACTTTCTCCTACGGACTGTACAGAGGGGTCCAGGGCCCCAGGAACTGCTCTTGAGGCTCAGGGTGGGGTGACAGAACACCCTCCATTCTGGGACACGCAACTAGCTCCAGGGGTCACCCCCTGCCCGCCTGGAGGCTTTTAGCCCGAGGGTGGGGAGGGGTAAGTGGAGGCTGCTCTCCCCCTCCTGGTCTGGAACAGCTGGGGGAAGAAGCTGGAGCCTTGGCAGGGAGGGAGGGAGGGAGGAAGGGAGGAAGGGAAGGGCGGAGTCTGGAGGGCAGAGCCTGAGGGATCTAAACCCCATCATCTTTACAAGCTGGTCCTCCAGGCTCCCTAGGACAGCTCCGACCATGTGGAGGGTGGGGTTCCCCTAGGAAGGGGTGAGGGTGGAGGCCAGGCCCCTTCAGAACTGTGCTGGTTGCTTTGTTTGGGGACTTTGTTCCTTCCCCAGAAGGCCGGGGCGGGGTGGTGGGGAGGAAGGCAGTTCTGCATCCTTTCTTGCTTTCTGTCCTCTACTTGACAGAGTCCATGTCGCGTGTTTCTTTCTGCTTGGCTGCTGGTGCACAGCTCCACCGAGACCCCTTCCGAGGGCTCTCCGAGAACTGGGCTGCTTCTGGGGCCCGCAGGGGTCCCCGGGCTGGAGGAGAGAAGGGCTGAGTGGCTGACGACGTGTAATTTTTGCTTTTCGGTGGGGCTGGGCTGGGCTAGGGGATTTTTCCATGTCTCAAAATTTCTTCTCCCCCCTTTCGAGGAACCTCTTCTTTTCATTTTGTTGTTTCTTTTGTCGATCTTATCAGAGGAACCAGGACTGAAACAGGATGAAAAAGAGGTGACACTGAGAACAGCTGTGGCAGGTCCCATCTCACTCCTAGCTGGCCCAGTGACCTGGCCCCTCAAGGGCCCAGCTCCCAAAGAGCCAGGGTGCCAGGCAGCCACCACCCACCTCGTTCCCGTGGAGAAGAAAGGGCATCCCCATTCTCTCCCTCCCTCCTGCGAGAACCCTGCCCCCTCAGAGACTCTGCCCCTAGTGCTAGAGTCCAGCTGGCCTTCCCGTGGGCACTGTGCCCAGCGGGCGGGACCCCCATGGCTGGCGCTGGCACAGGCCTGAGATCTGGCCATGTTTCCAATTGTTTAGGTTTTTGTGTGGGTCCTGGAGGGTGGGGAAGATGCCAGGCTGGGGCTTTTGTACCCAGAGGGGTTTTAGGGATGGGGTGGGGGTGGCCCAGCTTCTTGCTGAGTTTTCTTTCTGTCTCTTTGGATTAAAAGCAGAAATTCCCATCTATATACCCCAGCCAAGGTCCCACAGGCTGAAAAGCTGGGGGCAGAGGAACCACATGGCTTCAGTCCCTACTAGCGCCAGGCCTAGGGGAGGGGCCACGTAGCCCACGGTGCTTGATCTTCTACCCTCAGGACACTAGACACCGAGGAAGGACCTGAGGCTCCCTGGGGTGAGCGTCACTTCCTTCACAATGCCAGCAGGGGGTGCTGCCTTCTCACAGACAGGGCCTTGTCTGCCTGTGTCTGGTGGCTCAGCTCAGAGCACACCCAGGGCAGACCCCAAGGGACTGAGCTGCTTGGCTATGCCCTCCATCCAAGGCTCCAGCCCCACCTCCTGGCAAAGTGGTGGGTCAGGGTCTACTGTGGTCTACTGGGCCTGGGTGCACCTGGTAGTAAGTACCCTTGGGGCAAAATGAGGGTCCCTGAAAATGCATCTTGGGGCCCCTTCCAGGCTGTCACAGACTCTGGTCTGCAGAGGCCAGGCAGAGCCAACTACAGAGCACATACCAGGTCCTGGTTCACTCCACCCCTGCCCTGATCCCACAGGGAAGCCAGGCACAGAGGGGGTGGGTGACCTGCCTGAGGCCACACAGCCCTCGGGCAACAGAGCCAGGGTTCAAATGTAAAAGGCAGTGCAGGCTGTGCTCGTAACTGCTGCCTGTGCTGCGAGCACGAGGAAGCAGGTTCTGTGGTGGCCGGAATGCCTGTGCCCTGCCTAGGTCAGGGTGAGTGAGGGCCCAGGGCAGCTCATCTGCCAACTTTTCGAAAGAAACCAGAAGCCCAGACAGAATTTCGTGTGAAAATTTCCAATATTTAAAACATTGCTTTGGTCAAACATTCTGCCTACAGGCCAGACCTGCTCTCAGGCTCTGGTTTGGGACTGAGGATAGGGACACTGGGTTTCAAAAAGGGCCTTGGAGATCATCTAGCACTTTCTGTGACAATGGAAATGTTCTCATTTCCATTGCAGTAGCCACTAGCCACAAGTGGTTTCTAAGCACTTGAAATGCGGCGACTGTAACTGAGGAACCAAATTTTTCTTTACTTAATAAGTTAATTTAAATGTAAACAGCCACACGTGGCCCGTGGCTACCACAATGGACAGTGCAGATCAAGAGCATCTGGAAGTGTGGGGTTTGGGATTGCCACAATGACCAGGCGCTGCTGGGTGGGCAGAAATGCCAAACTTCCTGCATGTGCTGGACAGTACACACAAGAGACCTGCCCTCCCTCAGCGGGGCTCCTCAAGCACCTGCCCCAAGTCCAACCGGTCAATTGACTACAGGCCAAACAGAGGCTCACTGGAGCCTGGTGAGGCTAAGGCGGAAACCCAGGTCTGAGGCATCTCCAGAGTGGGTGGGGGAGAACCGGCCCGCAGCCAGCTCCTGGGCTTCTGGCCCAAGCCCGGGGGTGGGAACCGCCTGGGCTGGGTGACCTCCACCCGCCACAGGCTTGGACCTGTTCCCTGGGACCCCCTTCCCAAGGGGAGACTATAGAGGAACCCTGTGCCATTGCTCCGAGGTTGAGGGGGAGGCTGGCTATGGTGGTGAGCCCACCCCTCTCCTCACCAGGCAAATGAGGCTTGTGGACAATAGGACAGGGAGGGCCCCACCTGCCCTATCTGCCCCTGGCAGACCATGCCAGGGCCCCACACTGGCCCCTTTGGGGTTTCCTGAGCTGTACAGTTGGGGACAATTGCCAATGCTCAGACTGGGGGGTCCTCCTCAGGGAGGGAAGACTCTGGTTCCAGGTCTGGAGTTAGGGACAAAGGCTGCCCCAAGGGGGCTCCCCGGCACCTCCCCAAAGGTCCCAGGAATGGGGGATCTGCTGCCAAGCACAGAGTGGCTTTCTCTGCTCACCCCTCCCTACTTCCTGAGCCAGGTCCAAAATTGATTAAAACTAAGTAAAAAGCGCTGCCCAGGGAATGACAAAATTGCTAAAATTCTCTTTTCTTCCCTCATTCTATTGTTCTCTCTCCATCTGGTGCTCCAGAGATCAGCTAAAGTCACTGGTTACTGTGGAAACCACCCCCGGTTGTACCCCCTGCGCCCGTTGCAGCCGCCTGCCTGCCCCCAGGCCCGAGGGCTCCAGCTCTGCTTGTCCAGCTCCAGCTCCCCCCACCACTCCCAGACACACCTGCCTGCTCAGGGGCCCTGGATCCCCGCTGAGACTCCTTCCTCCTACCTCCTGGAGCCCAAGACACAGGGAACATCGGGGGAGACAAACTTTCTCAAACTTGCCTCAAACTCTGACTTGGCCCCCAAACATCCAAGCAAAGTGAGCAAAGAAAGTAAAAGAGGCAGTGGAAACAGGGTTAGCCGGGAGGGCTCGTGGCAGTGGTCCCCGGAGCGGAGCGCACGACCGACCGCAGAGCTGCGAGCAGCCCAGGCAGGCGGCAGGAGGGAGGGAGCAATGGAGCCCTGCAGCCTGGTGCCAGCCCAGAGCCAGGAGGGGAGGCCCGCCTGCTGTCCCTTCCTCTGGCACCCCCTCCCGCCTCTGCCAGCAGGGCTCTCTCGGCCTCCCTGGCACAGAGCAGAGGGGGCTGGCTCCAGCCCCTGCTCGGAGCCATTGTTTTTCTTCTCAACACCCCCAAGTTCAAGTTCATCTGGGTGTTACATCATGTCTGGTTGCTCCTGGAAACCAGACGGGTCAGACGTGACTCTGGGGAAAGGGGGTGGGAAGCTGGAGGGGGTTGAAGTTCTCTTCCCCTCCCCTCCTTGCCACTAGGGAGCTCTGAAGTTTGAAGTTTGACAAAGTTTTTTGGCTTTTTTTTTTTTTTTTTTTTGAGGGAAGGAAAGGAAAAGAGAAAGAAAAAGAAAAAAAAAAAAACAATCTCAAACCACACACAAAACTTCCATCCACCAACTTTCTCTGGACTCAGGCCCCAGAGCAGAGAGAGGCAGAGCAGGAGATGAGAGGTGGCCCCAGGGGCTCTTGACAGAGGTGGATTTCCCAAAGCTGAGGACACCTCCAAGGAGGTGTTTTTGTAAAATGTGCAAAAGAAAGATATTTGCATGTTATTTTTCAAAACCCTGGGCTGTAAAAGCCTCAGGCCCCCTAAAGCTGCCTCTGCCCTCCTCCTGAGATGGGTCTGCCCTGTGCCCCCAAGGGCACTGGGCTCTGTGCGCACTGGCCTCTGGGGTCTCTACCTGGAGGACTAAGAGTTGTCTTATCTCTTGCTTGTGACAGGGATCTGTCTCCTTGTGAGAACTAGGGGTGGTGTCAGCAGGAGATAGGAGCAAGGATGGGGTCTCCAGCATGCTGGCCTTCTCCCTAACAGGACTCCTGAGGACTTGGGTGAGGGGCCTCTAGGACAGCGGCCTGCCCTGCCCTGCCCTCAGTGCCAGTCTCTGGACACACAGCCCACCAGGCCCTCTGTCCCTCCTCCACCAGTCACCCAGCCCACCCAAAGCCAGGGGAAAGGGAAGGGCTAGGGGCCAGGGCTTCCAGCCGGGGCGGGTGAAAGCAGTGAGGCAGACTCTATTCTCCTCCTGATGGGCCTCAGGCTTCCATCTTTGCTTCCACCAGGCCTGGCCCAGAGGGTCTCTAGACTTGGGTCCTTGGCCGCCTTCCCCAGGGCCAGGGCTGTCAGAGCTAATTATCCAATTAGCTGATTAGCCAGGGAGCCTGGGGGCTGCCTGGGGAGACAGGCTCAGCTGGGTGTGCAAAAGCCTGGACCCTCCAGCCCTGCCTCAGACCTCTCTCTCCGTTAGCCCCAAGGACTCCAGGCTCTTCCCTAACACCAAGATGCCCTGCAACCCTGCCTGCTCTCCTGGTCCCTGCATCCAGGTGGTGGGCAGGATCTCCTACCTGAGACTGCTGTGGGATGTTCAGAAAGTTGCCGTCCCGGGGTCCGATGCTGACAAACCGGTTGGCAGAGGAGGCGCCTGTCGTTGCGAATGCTGTGGGGAGCAGGGGAGAGAGGGAGAGACCCTGTCAGGCCTTGGGGCCCACCTGGGCACTGCCCCTCGGGGCTGCTGAGAGAGGGAGAGACTGAGTTAGACCATGCTGCCCAGGTTTAGGCTGGCAGTGGGAAGGACGGGCCAGAGGGGCATCCGAGCTGGAGGCCAGGCTCCGAGCCTGCCCCCCCACTACAGAGGGATACTCTCATCTTCTCACTGACCAGGAACACACACTACACCCCCGACACACCCCCACTCCAAAGCCAGTCTCAGCCAGGCATCCTTTTTCACGGCTGGGATGAGGGAGAGGCCCTGGGGGCTGAGACAAATGTCCCTTGGACCCAGTTCCACCTGCTAGTGAGGCACTGGGCAGGGCTGGGGATAGTCCTGGTCCACAAGCACCCTCAGTGGATACCCCTGCTTTCCCACTGGCCCCTCTCAGGTACTGAAGAGAGGGGGCCACGGGAGAGGGGAGGCTTTGGCAGCCCGGCCCCACCCTGCTTCGGGAAGGCCTTCCCAGCCAGGCTACCTATCCAACCTGGGTGGCCTAGCTAGATGCTACACCTCTTACCACCCTGGGCAGGCCCAAGGACCAGGCAGGCAGGCTTGGGGAACCCAAAGGGTGCCCAATGGAGGGCTGAGCCAGGTAGGGCAGGGTCAGAGAGGGGCCTAGGAGCTGGCTGCCTGGCTTGGGCCCAGGGGTAGCAAGGCTCAGGCCCATGGCATTCTCCTCCTCTGACTGATGCACCAGGTCCAACAGGTCTGTGGTTCCAGGACCAATGCAATAGAGGAGGAGGAGGCTGGAGAGCCTGGCAGAGCCCCAGGGCTCAGATGCCTGGGGGCAGCCATCCTGGGGCCCAAGGACAAAATGATCCCAACAGCTCTGAGTTCCTCTCAGGTTTCCAGATGGAGCTCTGCCAGAGGGAACAGGCCCTGCACCCCCAGAAGGGAAGATGCCCCCAGAGGAGGCAAGGAATATCACAGGTTACCTGGGAGGCCCACCGCTGCCCTGCACCAGACACACCCAGGGACTCCATGCTCACCAGATTCTGCCCACCTCTCTCCAGAAGTGGCCCCCAAACCCTGTAGCCCAGCTCCCATCCCCCACCCTGCCCACCTCCAATGACTGTGACTTCATGTCTTATGGCGGATGCAGATGGGAAGATGGCATGAAGAGGATGGAGAGGGGAAAAGAACTCAAACCACGAGAAAGGAGGAGAGACAGAGCGAGCGGAGAGCAGTGTGAGATGGGCCACCCCTCCCGCCGCCACCGAACTGCCCTGGCCTGTGGCCTGCCCACCCCCAGAGCTGCCCACCCTAGCCCACAGACAGCACCCGCCCCATCCTCTGTCCTTCACGCCGGGTCTACCTGGGACCTCTCGACTGATTTTTCTTCTTTTCCCTTTGACAAAATTTGTCATTGGTTTAAGAGGAAAAAAAAAGAAAAGAAAAGAAAGAGAGACAGAGAGAGAGATGAAGTAAGCCAAAGCCCACAGCCCTCCCTTGTCCTTGGAACATCTAACCTGGGAAAGGAATTGAGGAGAAGGGAGGGCAGAGGGATGGGAGGGGGAAAAAAAAAGAGGAACAACGAGAAACCAAATGTGAGACTGAGGGGAAAGGGGTCAGGGGCTGGCCTGCTGCGTCTTTGAGGCCCAAGGGCCCAGGGATGGAGGTGAGGGGCAAGGCAAAAAGGGGATGGTGGTGGCGTCGCCTTGTGGTTACATTTGATTTTCTTGGTGTGGGGGGAACAACGAAACAACAAAAAAATTAAAAAACAAAAACAAAAAA